GATACTTAAAAATTTCTTACCAAGGCAAAACATCTGAGTGACCAAAACCTGAAATTACCTGTAAGAGACCTACCTCAGGCTGAGTAGGAACGCAGCATACATTTTAGCTACAAACACTGTGCTGTGTTTCTATCATGTTTGATACATATGTGGAAACTTCTGGTTTGTGGATATATTTGTGGATATATTTGTGGAAACATCAAAACACACTTTACAATTGGCACAGAGGTTGGAAAAGGAAATTACCTTTGAGTTTTCCATTACGCCCTCAATACAATCAAAATAGGAGAGATCGCTCACAGGTTCATTGGGGTTATCCAGCATTCCCTTAACTGTCTGAAATAATGAAAGAGACTGATTATTGACAGAGCCTGAAATACTGCGCTGAGAAGAACATAGACCATCACAACTATCCTGTTAATACCAGTGTAATCTTATAACTTTGTCTCCAGCAAGCAAACAAAACTACACGCTCACTGAGGGCTCACATACAGATGAGTCTGCTACACATTAAATGCTACCCTACATTAACTGACCTGTGGTAACCACACATTCATGCACTACGAATCTGCTGGAAGTATAGGCTAATGTGATTTACCTTGTTTCTGTGATGAGTGATTTATGGTCAGTGAGCACTGCTCGGCTGACACGTGGTTTTCTGTCAGTTGTCAGTCTAATACGTATTTTCAGCACTACCTGAAGTTTCATAAATGAAGTTTCATAAATTACAAAAGTGATGGGAAAACCAGCTACCATGTGTTGAGTACTGTCTAGAGACGCAAAGAGCTACCAAACTAAGTGCAAGTCAACCACCTGCTTGCCTCTTACTACTGTCAACAGATTCCACCAACACAGCTCCCTCTGTCAGAAAACTACATGTACTAGTTGGGTATAACTTCTTTTTCTGAGGTGATTCCGATTCCTGGAAATAACAACGTGAGTGTCAGTCACATATTCATTCAGAAAAATCAATGCATTTAGATAATGAAACTTGTAAAAAGCTGCAAAATGCAGCAGACTAATTATTTTATATGTAAAAAATCTGCAATATGCCTTTTTCCAAGTTTGGAGGAAGACTACTTTCTGCCAAATATCAAGCAGAGAAGCTTTTTAATCTTTCTGATGAAAGTGAAATCAGTAAGTATAGAAAGGTACCAACATCTGTATCTGACGTTTGCCTTCCATCTGAAGGAAACCTAGGTGTGATTTTAAACCCTTGGACTTTTCTCATAACTAAACTCCTAACGTTAAGATACACCTCCAAAATTTTTAACAACTCAGCTATTGCTTTTTAAAAGCTACAGCCTAACTTAAAGCTGTACAGCAATTAAACTGTGAGAGCAAAGTGGTGTAAAGAAGTCGTCACATCTAGAAAAGTTCCCAGTTGCCTCTCATCTCCTCCTCAGTTCTCACAGACGTTGCAGCAACTCTTCACGGTTGTGCTCCATCTATAAATACCCATGTGTAAAGCAAACAATGTTCCTGCAGCACTTACACTACTATGGAGACAGAAGCCCTTGGAACATAAGGAAACAGAACAGCAAACGACAAGCCAGCACAAACTTCCCGCTGACACGTATTTTCTGTTACTATAACACCTTTGTTAATCCTTTCAGCTGAAATTCTGGGCAAGTTTAGCTACCTCATTGGAGGTCATACAGTAAGGTCCCCTCTAAAAACAGTTTTCCAGAGTCTCCAGTGAAGACTACAGAGCATACAGAGAGCCTAAGAAATCCAAGCTGAGATCCTCTGTTTCTACAGAAACAACACTCTTTAGTACTTTTAAGAAGCCTTGGGAAGACCAGAAATAGTAGGTGATGAATTGGGGAAATGAAGGGAAGAGGTAAGAGCTTAATCACTGTAAAGAGAAATTGAAAGTTACGACTGCTAAAAATGCTTTCCCAAAAATTTGATAGGTTCCTCAGGTCACTTTGATACCAGTCTCCAGTCTGGTTTCAGGACTGCGTGGTTTTGCCTCAGTTTCCCTTTTCTCAGAAACTAATCTAATTCCATACAGCCAGGCTTTTCTTGCTAACTGTCCCTCTCAGCCAAGTGTTTCCTGAAGTTCAAGATGACACAGATCTTCCTTCTGCCCTTCGCGGGCTCTGCTTGCAATCCATGCAAGCCATGCTATTGACACAGAGCGCTCTGCAATGGCTTTTTAAGGCTGTTCCGCCTTACATTTGCCCCCTAACCTCTCAGTTTTCTGTGGCTCCTTAGCTGGGAATTCTCATCTTTCACATCCCTGCTATTCTGCAGACCTCTCCCCCTTAGTCTTTCAGGAAGTCCTGAGAAATGGCGCTTCGTTCCCCCTGCTTGCTCCACCCCTATACTCTGCATTGATTTCAGCTATTACATTCTGGCCCAATTTCCAGTTTTTTCTTTCTATTATTTGGACTTGCCTCCACTCACTTTAACCAAGGGGAGAACACCTCTAAGCTCAGGAAGCTAACAATTCAGAAGTATAATGCAGCTCCTAGACAAGCTCCTAGCAATATTTTGGGATGATGACAGTGGACTTGCATATTAAAAAAAGCTCACAATATCCTGGGATGCACTGCAATGACCTCTGTATCTTTTTGATACCAAGGAGTAGAAATAAAAAGCTTAAAAGTGTTTTATGCTTTCTACACGGGCCAGTCCTCCCTTGATGTTCTGACCTTGACAGCAAACAACAAACATTTAGTTTAATAAAAAAGATGCTATTTCCTACTATTGTAAGCAGCTGTGTGTGAGCAGTGAACAACCTTAGAATTAGGTCTTTCAACTGCCCTGCTACCCACTATTTAGCCAGCCAAACATTTCACTCATGAACAAGACTGTACCTTGCCAAAACCTGTATTGACACATATGTCACATCAGCTTGGCTGTGGCAAAGCAGATACAAGGCAAAGATCTACACTAAGAAATGGTAGGGTATAAGACGGTAAATGTCATCCTAAAGTGGGATGTCAGTTAACAACATTCTACAAGCAGAAAAATCAAGATACTGCAGCTCCTTCCAGGGCACTGCTGGTACTGGGAATGTCCAACTCATCATGACTCTTCCTTAATTCATGGTAAGTACAAATAATAAGGACTAAACTGTACCTTTTGGGGGGGCAGGGGAGAGGAGATGGGGACAGGGCAGCAAATTTCATTCTGGCCAAAACTGCAAGATGTTCGCAGAGGTTCTATGCTTACCTCCTATGCAACTAAAACCCCTGCCACAGTTATCAAGTGAGAAGGCAATGACACCAGCTAATCAGACAAAGAAAACAACAGAAACAAACAATTGGGACCCATTTTTATTTGTAAGAACTTTTGAAATGTTGTAATACCTCCAGTTCTCTGAGTGCATTATCACATTCCTTCTGCCCGGGAGCTTGCTGGGTGCACAGCGTGATGAGCTGGTTGATACTCTCAGTCACAGCTCTAGGAAGAGTAGGAGGAAAAAAAAGTATGTTTTAAAGTTAAACTATTCCTCTTATTAAAACTTTTGTTTCATTAACTGTACACTGCATAAAGATAGAACTTTGATGTTCTACTATATTTTTTCTTTTCAGTGTTCGGGGATTAACTATATGTTAAGCACTTCTCCTAGAAATCTCTTCTTTAACAAGTTCCATAGAAGCAAAAACATTCTCACTAAAGCATTTGATGGTGATCCACACCTGAAAATCTATACATTCAGCGTAAACAATTGAGAAGTTAGTCCAGAAGAAACAGAATCTTCATCTCACAGCAACAAGTGTACTGAGTGTCTGTGGTAAGGTTTTGGCTGCTGGGGTGGCCTCTGTGAGCAGAGGCCAGGGGCTGCCCCATGCCAGGCACAGCTCGTTCTAGACAGCTCCAACAGACCCATCACAGGACACAGCTGAGCCCAGCAGCCAAGCTGGTGGCACCTCTGCAAAAACATTGGTGAGAAAGGGCAGAACATCTGGCACCAGGGCCAGGGTCAACCCACTACACTAGCATAGTGACGTAACTTAGTTGCCAAAAGGTACTTCAGCACTTCTTCAGGCCCAATAGTAACGTAATCATTTCTCAACTAGCACCCCAGAAGTCTTATTAAAGGACACAGTAACAGGTGGCCAGTATTGTAAAAAAATGCTTGAATGGAAGTAGTATTATACACCCTTTGCTAGCAAAGGCTTGTGTCTTGTCTGACATACTATGTTACAAACACACACATAATCCTGCTATATATTTCTATAGTCTGTTATCAAGTTATTTGGGTTTTTTTGTTTGGGTTTTTTTTTTCCCCTTTAACTAATCATTAACATTCTCTGAGTCAAGATGCATCAGCTCTCAGGTTTAAATCCAAAAAGAACATTATATTTTTGCATTACATTTCTATGGGAGTTCACAGTTCTGATGCTCTTGAACACAGGCTGAATCTGATACACAGTAGTCACTATTTGTGTTTCTGATGAATGCTCTGATATTAAGAGAAGTTCATTATAACTACATTCACTTTAGACTAATAGCTAACCACCCAGGAAAGCAGCTTCTAGAAGAAGAGGCTTTGCAGGAGGAAGTGTGCTGTTCGTTGTTATTAATCAAAGACCATTTTCTATAGCCAGGCATGTTGTCACCGATTTGCAAAAACTTAGCTTGTACTGTGACATTACAGTGGAATGCAATTGGTTTTATGTTGTTTCTCATGGCAGATTAGAAAATGAGTGAAATGGGAGTGCATGGAGAATATGCTCCCCTCTGGCTTTGAAAACCGCATGACATTTGGATTATTTTTCTCTCTAACATAACTGGCACTTGATAACATGATTGGTAATATCAGTAACATGATTACCTAGACGGATGGTATCACTTTGTTACCAAAGGAAACAGGATGTGCTTATCACATATACACCAGGTTTTATGCTTAATTCCAGGGCAAAAAGAGTGGAAACTAATAGACACGTTTAACTGAGACTCCTACCCTTTTCAGTAGCTCTTGTGTCCTTGCGGAGCCGTTTTTCCCCCAGGTTCCTCTGCCTTTTAGGACTGTTACATATACATGTCTTGCATCCTGTCTGACATACTGTATTTACACACTTAGTCCTGCTATATATTTATATAGTCTGTTACCAAATTTGGTTTTTTTTTTCTTTGATATCCTTTTATCATTGATATCCCGAGTCAACATGTGTGTGTATATACAATTGTTTTTACAATTACTATTTACCTCTGAGAAACAACGTGTGTGGCTTCACCAACATAATGGATTCTCAGCCTCCTGAACGTCAGTGATTTCTACGCATCAGAAAAATGTTATTGCATACAGACATATGAATAGAGGGCAAAAATGGAAGGTTCTGTTCACTCCCAGAGAAACTCCATGCAAAAATATCCTGCCCGCTGTTGATTTTAATCTGAGAGAGACAATGCCCATTGACTCAGAGAATATCAGTGACTAAAGAAAAAATCCCAGACTTCATAATAGACTAGAATTACCAGCTTTGAAGAGGATGAAATGGGGTCTTATAAATGTCATTACTACACACCAGGTACCTGTATCCAGGAATACACCTATGTACAAGCATTACTTTTAAAACTGTTTGGAAGCAGCAGAAACAGGAAGGTGGCCCCTCAAACACCAACCCCAGAGTGGAAGAGGACTTCCAGGACTCTAAAGGCCACATTTTTTTTCATTAAATATAGCACATAAATACTCAGATCCTGCAGGGAACTCAGCCACTGTTGCAGTCCTATGAGACTGTCAGAGGAAGTCAAGAAAAATGCCCCCACGAGGAGGCCAAAGCTACTGAAAAAGTTGGAGTGTCTAATACAGCTGGAACAAAGAGGGAAGGAAAGAAAATACAAGAAGATGAATCACAGTACTGTAGAAGATGAGAGAAAAACGACAAGATAAGCCACCTTATAAGCAGGAAGCAAAGGAAGCTGTGCCTCTTCTTTCATTTTCATGAAAAAAGGGAAAGTAAAAATACTTGACACTGACGGTATCATAGCAGGGAAAAAAAAAAAAGGGAAAGAGAACAGAGCCCTGACAAGCTTGTCCCAAGCAACCATGGAGGATGGGAGAAGGGAAATACAGTGTCTGTTTAGCACCTTGAACACAAACTGAGAACTGGTACCGTATTTACTTTTCATGGTTATCTGATGCCTATGTAAAGCCTTATACATGCAGACACAGATGCTAACAGCACAGCAAAATAGAAGATCCAAAGACCCTACATGGCTTGTCTCCCTTTTTTTATTACATGCTTCTACAGGTGGAATACTGGCCTGGCAGAAACTAACAACTAACTGGGGACACTAACTTCCCCTACGCTCCAAACAGGAATGCTCCAAGCCTAAAATAGAAATCTGTACCAGTCTGATGCTGCATCAGTAACAAAAGCTCACACTACATCTTCACTTTTAAGCAGCGTGTCTTTGATCACCTACAATTTTCCTATAAACTACTTATTTCCAGGGAGACAAGATGGATGTCAGAGTATTTATTTATTTATTTATTTTTACAAATCTTACCAAATAAAATAGCATAACTTTACTTAAAGAAGTCCTTTATTAAAGGAACGCATTTACTTTAAAAAAAATAAAGCTATTTCTATTAGAAAGGCATGATTCCAAGGTCCAGGACAAACATCAACTACATTATCCCCAAGGAAGTAACAGTCTTCACTTACTTCCTCTCTAGGCTAATCTTTGTGAGTGTAAACATTTTGGAAGACAATGTTCTAAGTCACAGCCACACCACCTCAGACATTCATCTGATTAAATGTTGGCATTTCAAGCCGTGATATCTATCTGTCCTTCAGCAGTCCCCTTCCAGTTTGATAGCTGAACATTCCATTTACAAATTAGATAACCAAATAAAAGGTTAATTTGGAAAAAAAAAAGTGAAAAGAATTCGACATAAGTGACGAAGAGGTAATTATCCAGTCAAACACTGAAATGCAGTGTTATTTTTCATATAAACACTGAGCACCTTGGCTGAGAAACAGGGTCCACAAGATGAAATCCAGGGTGTGGTTGACGGAATCCTTAAAGTAAGGGTATCTTCCACCAAATAAACATAGCATCTAACCCTTTTGAGTGTTCTTGTTCATACACACTGTTGGTGGTAGGTTGCCACAACATGATTTTTAAGCACATTCTAGATAAGAACACTATTCCATATAGGGATTCAATTCAATTCAACTTAATTCAATTCTATATAAGAACATTATTCAATATAGGGACTGAGAGGCTTACTGTTAGCTACTGCTTTGTCAGAACACAGATGATACAAAACCAGTAGGTAAAACACATGAGTCCCTTTCAAAAACCAGGCCAACTCTTCAACTTCCGGTTTTTATTTCCACCAAGGATAACAAGTTATGCCAGTTAAGGAACTACTCCAAAATAAGCAGTTTTCCTCTGGCCTGCTTTCATTTAAATAGAACTGCAGGTTCCAATCCCTCAGTTAACTGTCAGTAGGAGAAGAATATGTAAACATACAATAAATATCACAGAGAAAAGCGAATACCTTATGAAAACGTAAAGCAAGCAACACATCCTTACCTTGCTGCTGCTGCTAAGAGGTTCTTGGCATTAGGAGCCCCAGGATCAACAGACAGAGACTTGGCAGCTAGTAACAGCTTGCTGGAAGCCATAGAGATGCTCTTGAGGTTACCTATTACTTGAATCTGGTCCTCTTTAGTCTGGAAAGCCGCAGTAGCATAAAATTAAGTGCAGAGTTTGCAACAAAGAGAGCATGCTAAAGCCACATTTGGAAACCCAGTTTGTTTATCCATCTGAAACCGGTGACATGCAGAGGACCATGGTCCGGTCAAGGACATGGACCAAAGCCTCTGTTCACCCAGACAGGTGCCTCAAGCCCCACTCACATAACAGAAAAAGAAAGCCATATAACAAATAGCTTGGTTTCTAACAATGGCAGTATTCTCAAATGAGCAATGGAGAAACTTTTCTACTTGTTGAACAACGCTTTTGTTGTCAAGACTCTCATGTGTCTCTGCCTGGCACAACTGATCCACATTATTCAGTCAGTGTACACTCTCTGTATTCTAGCACCCTCTGTAACCCACGGGCTCTCTTGCATCTAACTGGGATTACTCACACAGAAAGATCCCTCCAGAAAGTCCTCTATCCCCAAAAATACGTTTCTATATGCCTACGTTGGTAAACAATCTGACTTGGATGTTCTATTACTTATTTTAAGCCATTGCTTGAAAAAGAAAATGTTGTGTATACATACAATTACAGTGAAGTACTGCATTATCACAGCAAATAGCTGTGACTAGATTCTTCTGTCAATGGTCAATAGAAGTGAACCTGTTGTTTCTAACAGTCTGTTCAGGTTTAATGTAAAGAGGTTGCATGTTACTCAGCTGACATGAATAGCTTTTAGTCTATATTTATATTCTGCCTCCTCCCTGCCTCAACATTTTGCTGGCCATCCAAAATACCTGGTATTGATTCTGTTCAGGCCAAATAACTAGATGCAGACAGAAGGCATTATATCTTGAAAAGGTCAGCCATTAACCTAAGATGGTTATTATCCCCTATGTCAGCAGGATCAGCAAATCTGCAAGGGCCACAAGGTCAGCAGCAGCCAGAATTCTCTTTGCAAGTAGCTATTTGCAGTATCATTTCTACCTTTACCTTCACTGAATTGCTTCAAACAAAACATTTAAAAGTAAATAAGGCCCATGTCTAAAAAGATAGTCAGGTACCTAACTCCTACTCAGTTTCAGAGAATCGGCTGATATTTGGTGCCTAGCTCAAGTAATGGGTCTGAAACCTGAATAATTAAGATTTGATGGAGAATAATCAGCAGCTATTGTCCCATCTCTCTACTCAGCTCTAGCTACAAAGCATGCACTCTAGAGAGACACTTCTGAAATGACTACAAGGGAGTGGAACACTCAAGACTTTCCGGCTAGTTTTCTTTTGGCAGTAATTTCTCAGGTTTATAAGTTCCTCTTATTAACTAGGGCAAAACAGTCTGCAGATTCTTTTTTCTGCAAGGCCTCCTAGCTCTCCTAGTACATGACCCTTTTTTAGATGCTGACATTTGTTATGCTAAATCATCTCCAAATGACTGATTAGTGTAATTCAGTACACCTAAACTCAGTAAGATAAAATGAAGGAGATATCTCCAACTTCAAATGAGTACCTACACTACCAGGAATGTGCTAGGTCATACGTGACAACATTCCTGATTTATTCTAATGAACTTGGTAACAAACTGTTACATTTTAAATCACTAAACAGAACTCCAAGTGCTTGCTGTCAGATTCATGGCATTTTAGCCAGCCCTCTTCAAATGCTCGCTCCACTCTGTAGCAGGTCCACAGCAGGATGCACTATAGAGCAATATCAAGTCTGGATTTTAAATGCATCTTTTCCTCTCTCTACTTAAAGCATTTGAAAATTAGCAAAGAAAGGTGCTAAATCTCGAACAGTGTTCACCAATTATGCTCCATGGTAGTTCTACCAAAATAGAAGCAAACCTTCCCATAAGCTTTGAGAGGTAAACACCTTTGTACCTTCAGATATACAGCTCAAATCAGTCAACAGCCCAAACTAGACCAGAGTACAAAGTCATATTTCTGACTAGGCACATGAACAAATACCAGTATCCTGCATGAAACGCAATTGCAGAGTTGACTTCACTCTAGACAACCAGTTACAGATGACTGTTTCATAACAAATATCACCTATCATATTTGGAGAGGCTCACACTAGCACATTGTACTGTGCTGCTAGATAACCAAGATACTGCATTGCAAGACACTATGCCCAAAATATTCCTTTGTCCCAATTAGCAAGACAAAAAACGTACTTGCGCTTGGCCAGCCATTTCAATACCAGCATCAAGAAATTCATCAAAATCATCACTGAATTTTCCAGAGGCTGCAGCCAGTTCCCCACTTTGGCCCCGTGTAGCATGGACAACTTCTCCTGCTGACTGATTCAGGTCTGCGGCTGCCTGGTTCAGCTCACTCTGAGCTTCTTGAAATGACTTAGAACTTGGAGGTAGCTGTAAGAGACCATGTGCTGTATTTTATTGACTGTCACGTCACACCAGCCCTTCACAACTGGAAAGTTCAACACAAATCAAGAACACTACATGCAATACAGTAGCGAGCTTCATGTACAAGCTAGAACAGAGAACTGGACTGCTAGTGATTCAGTTCTGAATGCAGAGTAGTCCAACTATGGGACAGCTCTCAACAAAAATCTATACAATGACCTTAGTCCTGCTGTTTTGTTCAAGGGACAGACAAGTATGTAAGCCTTTCAAGGGACAGGGATGATGATAGCCATTTTATGGTTCAACTATGAAATTGGAAGTGATGAACTCAGTGGCAAGAGTTGGAGAATTTTCATCTCCAAGTCATCATTCATTTCCACAAACAAGCTTTCCAGAACACTACACAAATATTGGCAGCTCTTCACAATGACTCTGAACTCCTGACCTACAAAGTCATTGCACAAACATATCAAAAGACAATTCCTCCTTCATTCACAGGGTAGCAGGATCACTGGTAGGTGCAGAAGAAAGTTGTTCAAACCATATAACCTTCCAGCAAATTACCAGTGCACAAAGGGGGCTTTTTGACATTGATGCAGTTAAACAGAATTATAACAATTCTTCTCCTTGCACAAAATGACCACAGATACACCAAACATTTTTTTGACTGACCACAATGCTCCTTAAACTGAACAAATCACTTCTAGGTGACAGATGCATTACAATTTTTTTATTTTCGTATTCTTCAAAATGTTAAGTCACATTTGGCATTTTCAAAAAAACCCAACTAACGGTGATCTATGACAGTTTTAATATCGCCTTCACAAGCCACAGACACATTTCACCTTTCCCATAAACTAGAACAACAGCATTTCAGCCAAAGTAGCAGCTACTTCAAGTTGCATAAACTTAAACAAAACTTATGGGGAACCCTAATCTGCTTTTCAGTTCTCTGAAATTTATTTCTATATTAAAAGACATCTCACCGAATCAACAAGGAGCTTCTTGCTAGACTCCCCAATACTCTTCAAGGCCACATCCACATCCTTTTGTCCAGGCAGACAATTCACGCAGTTATTCAAGGAGTGAGACACGGCTTTTGCCACCTACAACAGATCAACAAACCCATCCATGCCAAGAATGGCTTAAGTGCTCATTTATCTAACAGGAGGCATGTTGTGTAGCCAGCAATTCACACATTCTGACTCTTAACAACACCACTTTTGAGGCTTGTGACTTTCTTGGTTTGCTCACATGTATTCTAGCAGCAGCCATTATTTATGCCCACCCATCAATTATTTATGCTCACCCATTTGATAGGATAGTGTTGGCAGGCAGCTGCACAACTGCTCCTGGCACCCGGGATAAGGCTGCAGCACTGCAGATAAGGGAATGCCCCTGAGGGTAACCATATACTAATCACAGACATCCTTTGCATGATACTTTTTTCGAAGTCCTGACTAAAACAAATCTCTCCTCGTAAGAAATTATTTAAATTATAGGCCATTTATAGAACTTTTCAAATAAGTAAAAAATCATTATTACTATTATATATAATATATATATAATTACTATAATTACTATTACTCCTTAAAGTCTTCAAAAGCAGTGGTGCCATACATGCAGAAAACGTTCATTCACTTTTTGAATAAAACATGAATACAGATCCTTCATTTAATAACAATCAGTTAAACAGTTGTTTCATTTTTGCAGTCAAGCAGCTTGCTCAAGTATGTTTTGGGTAAAAGCACTTAACTGCATCTTCGTATAAATTTATTTTTCTAAAAGATGACTAAAATATCATACTTCATCTGCACTGTTTAACATAAGCATGATGTTACTATCTGAGAGTTGCTGGAAGGAACAGAAAGCTGACATTCCTTGTGGCCTTATTTTCTGTTGTTCTCTCTCATTATTTAATGCTGCGTTCTAAGCAATTTCACCTGGTGTTTAACAATTCATGTAGCTGCTCAAGTCACAACTTACCTGGGCTAATCTCTGCTGACTGTCTGCATCCCCTGGTGCAGCCAGGGCCTGCTTCGCCTCCTGAATAAGCATAGCAGAGCCTTCCATGACATCCCTTGCTGAATCCAACATTGCATGTGCTGCCACAGGGTCGGTAGTAGATGCTGCAACCCCTCGTGCTGCCTGAGCCAAAGTCTTCAAAGCCTGAGCAGTTTCTCTGGCAGCAACTCCTATGTCCAGATTTCATCAAGGATTCTATTAGTTACCCTTTAAGATGATCTTTCTATTTTATGACAGATGAATTTGCAGATAATGATCCCATTGCAAAATAACATTGCAAATGCACTTTAAAAGAAAATCTTCAAACATGAACATATTTGAAATACACAGCATCCCTTAAATAGAGAAATGCCTGTAGTGAAGCCATACAGTAGGTATACTCCAAAGACCACATTCTGGGCACAGCTCTACATCAGTGCCTAAATCTTAGTGAAGCACTGAAAAAGAAGAAAATCTAAAACCTGAAAATGAGGAAAAACTCATACTCCAAGCTATGGGGGAAAGTGATTGTCTGCAAGAACAGTATACATGACTTCAGAGCCACAGCATCTCTGCTGCTTCTGAAAACACAATTTTGGATTTTTTAGAAAATAAACACAGCAATAGCTTAAGTTCAAGCAATTGAAAAAAAACTTAGAGATCATCAGAGATGACACAACTTGATATAACCTAACATCACTGTGAGTACAAAAATAATAGAATGAAGTCACAGAAAGGATGTCATGAAATTAAGTTGCTGTGGTCTGTCTGGCTGACATTATAGGACATCCATCAGCTCTAGAGCTATGGTGCACAGCTATGAATAACGGTCCTGTTCTTCTATTTTTGAAATTGAATTCAGGCCTTAAAGAAAACCAATATAAAATAGTCTTCTAAGAGACCTTAATTAGCACATAGTCTAGTAGACAACATAGTAGGTGGTATATTTTGAGTAAAAATGTTAAAATCATGCTATTGCTACCAAAAGAAAGCTACAGAAAAGGTTCACAAGACCTGTACAAGACCTCTTGGTTATCCACATTTGGGCATTAAAAATAGTTAGAATGTTCTAACATCCCTATTGGAAATGTGTAGAAAGCTGGGACATCACAACCAAGTACCACCCACAAAGTAGCCATGTTAGCACATTAACACCAGTGCTTTTTAACACCTTCCTCTTCTGGTCAGCTGAACACTTTTAAATGCAGAAACTTTAGAAGATAATGAAAAGCAAGTGACATTATATGTCAAAAGAAAGCCAACCTAGGCAGAGAAACAGTTACATCCTTCCTATTTGACAAACCAGAGAGCTTTCTGCATTCTTAATTTAAAGAAAATTTCAGTAAAAATACCCTTGGTTTATCTCCTTTATTTAGAGTACCAGTAAGAACCTTTTAAGTTTGACTTAATTTATCACAGCACCACAAAATAAAAAGGTCTGATTGTTTTGCTCTCAGTTTGGTGCAGCTTTCATCCTCTACAACGACTTTCGGTACAAAGCGAAAAGAAACTCACTGTGACAGTTGCAGACAAGAGGGAATTATTAAATAGTGAATATAAGCCATAAGGAATTTTTATCACAGAGAAACAGCAGAATGTCTTAACACCTGCACTCAGTGCTTCCTTGAGCACACACCAGTTTCTGCATGAGAAGACAGTATGAGGTAGAAAACAGTTATATGAGCTTTGAAAAGGAACTCATTACTTTGTAGGATTTCCCAACCAAACAGCTCTTACAGCCTGATGTTAACAGAGCTACTAGATTTAATTATTCAATATAAGCTGCAAGTATCTGTATTCCTTCATCAGATACCCAGTGCTAACTTCTGCATAACCACGTGATAGAAACACAAGCCATCTTAATGCAATTACACCTGCTTCAAATGAAAGCAGCCGTAAGTTATGTAACCCTAATGCAATTATCACCAATGAACTGGTAATTCATATAATGCATTTATCAGTAATATTAAAAAAAATCCTAGAGTAGAATTTGCATCAACAGCTTTTCTTTTCTTACAGAAATAAGGAGTCCGAACGTTTTACACTCTAAGAGTAAACCCTTTTTCTCTCTTCCAAGGAGTGTTTTCCTCATTAAGGTGTTTCCGGATTATAAAAGTACAGGTACAAAACAAATTGCAGAATCTGTGTGCCCACATTCCCTGTTGGCTTTAACTCAAACTATGCAAATGTGACCAATGAGTCAGAAAAAACAGGTACATTATACATGTAAACTGGTAACATCTAGTAAAAGATGCAGTTTTAAACATCACCAAGCTATCCCAAGTATGTGCGCATCCTGTGCTTCAAAAAATATCCAAAGACCCTTTCAACCTTCTGAAAGGGCATAGCAGCATTTCCAGCGGCACTGACCTTTAAATTGCATTACATTTTAGTTCTGTCCTTCACAGTTTCAGTGGCATATGTTTACAAAAACAAAAGATGTCCCAACCTATTGCGATTATACCGACACACAGGAGATTGCAACACTGTTTTTATGAAGCACATTATTCACACTAGCAATTCCTAGTAACTTACCACAATTCACTATCAGCATTAAAAAAAAAAAAAAAAAAAGAAAAAAAGGAGTAATTCCTTGATTTAAGTAGTCTGTGATAAGAAAACCTTCTATCAAGTATTTTCTGGAAAGCCGAAGTTTTGCAGAGACATGATGAGTAAAACACTACCTGTGTAATGCTCGTTGCCTTGAGCAGCACAAGTTAACAACTGAGCCATTGATGAGCCGACTGCTTTGGATGTACTTCCCAGGTCCTGAGTGCATTTCTCAAGCTGTGAAAAATTACAAAGGACAGAATTCTTTGTTTAAGCTCAACTACAACACACTTGTTTTTTAAACAGTACTAAAAGTTCCTCATTCCACAAAACCCAAGCTTTTACCTCAGCTACCAAACATACACACAGTTTCTCTGAAACCTGATTAGCATGCTTTCCCTATCCTGTGTGAAATAAAGTAACATATTAGGTCATATGAACAACAGGAGTATTTTATAATTAGCAATGGAAATCAATATCTTCATCTGAGGAGAAGGGGGATTTTGTCAAATGAAATATTTCACTTTCTGAGCCTACCTGGACCGGTAGTCTTAGAACTACTGAGTTCTCACCTTTGTCCCTTGGAAAAGAAATTCTTTAAGCAAGAAAAGACCAAAACATTGCTGCTACTAAATTGTAATTTGTCCAATAGAGAACGAGGCCCTACAGTCCTATGAGTAATTGTGCTACAGAACATGCTTCTGGTGTAGTAGGAATACATACTCTTTTTAAGAGAATTAGTGCAAAATCCTAGCAGTGTCATCATTATCCAACTTGTTATTATCCAATTATCATGACTTGTTTTGTCTCTAATACTTAAAATTTTTAACAGCTAACTTTGCTTGTTTTTAAATGAACATCCTTCCTCAATTACAGTTTCTCCTGGGAGAGGTTTTAACTGTCCATCCACAGCTGCCATCTTCGCATCTTGCAGTTCATTTTTGAGTGTCTGGACTGTGTTCAAAGCAGAATCGATTTCCATTGGGCCACATGCTTCATGAGCCTATTCAGAAATCAGATCAATATCACTGTTAGCAGCTGTAAGCCACTTTCAGAAATAGTAAATGCTTCAGATATAATCTTCCCCTCCCAAATTATTGCTCTCATGACTTTAGAAGCCATGGTGGGCACTTTAAGCGTTACACATCATGGATTCCAGATTCCTGCACAATATTCTTAGCTTGTGAACAGAATAACACACTGTAAAAAGCCACCAGGGAAATGAGATGCACTTAGCTTGTGTACACATGCCTTCATGCTAGGCAGTCAAGGTACTGAGAAAATAACTGCTGCCGTCTGGACTTCACCTTTGACAAATAGCCTAGCTATGCATCGTGACTAAAGTCACACTGAACCTTCTGACGCAGCAGCCCACAATCATCAGTACTCGAGCTCTTAATTTTAACATTAGCTCAGGCGTAGCCACCTCTATGCTACAATCCTGGTTTTAGGCCTCAGTGTACACAAAAAAAACCAGAGCAGGCTTTCCACTGATACCTTTTCTTTTAAACACATACATAGTCTAGAAATCTGTGTGTGAAACACAGATGGCCTCTGCTTCCCTGAATTTTAGAAGTGATAGCTCCAGTTCACCATCACAACACTGACCACAGCAGTGCTGTACCTGGGTCTCCCCAGCTTGGCAGGTGCATGAGATATGCTCCCCTTTCCCTGCTCTCCTTCAGATATAACAGCAGCTCAGAGCTCTGATGTGCTCCTCTGCGTATACCCTCCTCCTGTCTTTCTGATATGGAAAGGGTAGCACAAGCTTTTCAGTTTTCTTGCCACTTCTCCCTCCTCCTTCTGTTATGACACAGAAGGCACCTGGGAGTCTGAGCAAACTGTGCACAAAAAGCAACACTAAGAAGCGAACACTGCCTGAGAATGAGCCACTCCCTTGAGGGAGAGACAGTGGGCCAAGCAGGAGTGAGCCCGTGACCACCATCCAAGCCACCTTGCTTTAGCTGACTAATATCACCTACCTTCTGGGAGGCGGTTCGCAGCTCAGCTAAGCTGGTAGCAAGGTTCTTTGCACACTGACTTAGCTGCATTGCCGCTGCTTGATCAGTCACCGTGGGGACTGCAGCTTTAGCAGATGCCACCATTTTACTTCCAGGCTGCTCAAAGAAGAGCAATGAACACAATTGGTTTTACTAGCTCATTTTCTATAAAGAAGGCTTAAGATTCAATAAAACAAACTGCTTCCTCCATTCACACACTCATGAAGTTTCTAGATTTTCTGTATTAATCATTCCATGCACTTCCCTGATCCTTAACCATGCACCTTCTAGATCCCAGACTTTTATTCCTATGCTGCACTCTGTCATAATTCCGTGCTGCAGCATCCTCTGCAGGAGAACTCATTTGTGCTTTACTAGTACAATGACTACTTCGTTGGCACCACTGTCTGCCTGAGGCCTTTGAGTACTCAAGCAGACTACTTAAAAATATTTAAACGTGTAGTTTTGCCATTCAGTATCCAAGTGGTACAAGCAGATCCAGGTAGCAGTGATGGCGAATTTGTCTCAATGTTTCTAAATATTAAACTCTGCCAAAATTCTACAAATTGAAACTGTAATTCAAGCAATGATTCTTCACAGGGTTTGCTGTTAATACAATTAAATTACTTTGCTGAGTCTCACCATCACTATGGTACACACATATAGCCAGAAGGGAGACAGATCATTTTAACAACTCCAGAGGGAATCATATAGCAAACACTCAGAGCGAGAGCGTGGTTTGCGATACCTCTGCCTACATGGGATCATAAAGAACCTGCTAACAGGAACAAATGAAAGGGTTAATTTCTGTGCCATGTTTAAGGCAGGACTAACTGGTGCCAAGTAATGATCGTGTCATTATATGGACAACTTTCCCAGAAGGCAAGCGCTACAGCAATTGATGTTTCTTCTCCATACACATTAGTTTTCTTGCTACTTTTATCCTCAATTTCAGCAGTTTTCACTCTCCACAGATTCAAGATGCTTCAGCCATCTGACCTAGGGTACTAAATTCTCCTTAGCTATGGCTCACAGTCAGTGATGAACTTCTTTACATGGTTCTTAACAGTTCATTGCTTATTTATCACAAACAGAAACACACAGCACTAAAAAATGCTTTTTGCTCTGATAAGAGTCTGCTACAGTCATTGATTCATTTCACCTGAAGGAAGTTCTGGCTGGAATTTATTAGAGCAAGCTGGGCACTGAGGTCTTCTGCCTGAGCTTGACTTCCTCTTACACCCTGCACCAGCTGAGGAATGTGGTCTGCAATATTCTACAATAAACAAAGGGAAAAGCTTTTAGTAGATAAATAAAAACTACAAACCCTCTGACACTAAAGCAAGTCCTTTCTGCAGCCCCCTTAAAGACAACCTGTAGTATTCACGGGTACAATACTCTTGTGACTTCACAGAATTTGTTTAGGATTCCATGGAACTGAACGAATAAATGACAGTATTTTTCAGAGATGTTCTACTTTTACTTAAGAAAGTTTATTCGTGCAATTTATTAAAGATCCTACAAGACAATTTAAGATTTTTCTGCAAAGTTACGTACACAAAGTATTTTGAATTACTTATTTTGCATGTTCAAATGCCAGCAGAGGAGGTGAGAGACTTTTCAAGAGAATGTCTTGCTTTCAGAAAAAGATTGTCTTTTACACAAGCACCTCAGACTACTTTTCCTTGACTTCTAATTAAACTTTATAGTATGGCTACAGCACTCTGAAGTGTGTACTGCTAAAACTTTATTCCTGGACTGCCCAGATTGATGCTCCTCGTCCATCCATTTCACAATAACGCTTACTTCAGCAGTGCAATACTTTCCCGCCCATCCCCCCCCAAAAAAGTAGGTATCAGATCTTCTCTGCTATCTAAGAAATCATCAAGATCAAATTAGAATGAACTACAAACAATACAGTGAATCAGTTTGCTTTTTTTTTTTTTTTAATTCATACTGAAATAGCAGCTGCCTACAACATAATCTTGAGATGTACTTGAGCTACCTTATTTAATTCCAACATTTCTTAGGACTACCACTGTGACAAGAAATAATTGCTGAATGTTAATGTGGCTTTTAACGATACCTTCTTTAATAGTTTTATTCTTGTTCCCCACATAACTGCTCTTCCATCCAGAAGAAAACCCTTCTGCATTGTATTTTTTGTTTAAGTGCAATCTCTTTAAAACCCTGAAGCAACATCAGTCAGAGCTTGAAATTAAGCTGCCAAATGTAGCTTAAACACAACAGATAACAGATTCTCACCAGACTCTGAATTCTAGCTTGGAACTTCAAAAATGTGTTTGACTTCAGGCATACCTTGAAATCTGTGGTCTTGGCAGCTTTAACTTCAAGCTAGGAAACACACTAACCCCATATGAAGGACTATAACCTATCTTTTTTAATGACAGTTGCATGTAGGCTGAACATCAGCACAGCAGGATCAGTGTTGTCAGTTATATAACCCATTATATAACCAATACATTAAAGGAGGATTTCACTCCATTACAGTATAAATTGCTATTGCTACTCCATCCTCTGTTGTGGAAAATTCAAGGGTTACCTTTATGCCATGGCAGACTTCAGCCTCATTTCACTGCATGTATCATTCCACAACCTGTTTTGATGATCATAAAACTACTCGCCTGCTCAAGAGCACACTCGTGTGCTGAACATGCGGCCAAGACTTCTTGCCAGTGTACAAATTCTGAGCGTCTGGACCTGTCCACATAGTGCTTCTAGCATAGCTCTGCACAGACAGTGCTGCTGACTGATCTGCAGCAAAACTTTTACTTAAAGCTCTTGCTTCAGGTAAATTGTTATTACTCAACGGATACATGCTGAGGTGTATAAGCCTGTTAATCCCTTCTAATAATGTGTTTGCAGGGGTATTTGTAACAGCCACTTATAGCAGCTCAGCTTTTCAAAGCTCTCCATACAGTAACGCATGGAAACTATGGATAAGACAACAGATGAGGGTTGTCCAGAAACCACACAGATGAATGCGCATAGTGTTGGTTTTGTTGGTTCTGGTTGTCATTTTTTGTTTGTTTTGTTGTTGTTGTTTGTTGGTTTTTTGTTTGTTTTTAAATCTCCTTTTGAGGTTGCAACAGTATAAGTACAGAAGATGATCTTCAGTTCCCCATAAAGCAGAGTTCAAGAGTAATTTGTCAGTGGGTTGCGATGTGTTTACCTTACAGCTCTGCACAAGTTGCTGGTGGGCTGCTGTGTTCTTATTTGAAACAGCTGCATTCTGAGAAGCTGCAATAGTCTGAGTAGCAGCAGCCGCGGCTTGTTTAGCTGCAATCTTTGGAGAAAAAGAGAGTTAAATCAGTGGTAAAAGTCCAATATTCAGAGGATGAAACAGAAATTATAGGTAACTTTGACAATAACAACTTTGACAGATTAATATATTATATCCTGTGATCAATTTGAGTTGACTTAAAGCTCAGGATTGCTCTTCTCTCTAGATGAAAAAGAGCTGAACGCTATTATCCATCTATAACTTGCCAACAAAGAAAAAGGTGGAACTAGAAGGATTTTAAGCTCTTACTCCTTCATAACTTAGGTTGCAATACGACCAAAGTAGGTCAATTAGAGAGGGCAGAAATGGCATAAGCAATTAGCTCCTCACAAGAAGGCCAGAGGCAACAGGCAAAGTACATTTACTGCTTCAGACTACTACATTAACACCTCTGAGGAAAGACTCAGGGGAGCCAGCTTCTACCGAGGTTGCTCTATGGCAAAAGCAAAGATACTAAAATGATGCAGAGGTATAAAATACTGGTGTTACTGAGTCTAAAAGCACTGAGAAGACCTTCTTCAAATATCTAGGAGTGTTATTATCAGCCTCTCACTATTATAAAATTAAAAATGCAACGATTTATCCAAAGTATTCCAACCCGTTATACCATGCTTTTAACCAGCCCACTAAATACCACGAAGCATGAAGTTCATTCTCATCATTACACATTCAACTCCTTTAAGGCAGTACATAACAGCAAACCAAACAAAATGTCCTTTCTATAAAGCCTTCTTGCATGCAGTTAGAAAACAAAGACATCAGCCTTTATTTCCTGAAATACTTCTGACTTTGATTCTACCCAGATACAGTAATCTAAATGCACTTCGGCGTTTAGATCACCTTGTTTGTCTGATCTCATTGCACTTGAATCAGATTACTGTAAAGCCACAGTTGGAAACCAGGAATTACAAAAGGTGGGTTTTTTTTTTTTAATCTGTCTTTTCTACATTTTAGCTGAGAATAGGAAGATCATACTTTGCCTACAAGACAAACTTCAGAGATATTTTATTGTTAGTGCACAGTGAATTGCCTTTCTCCCCCTTGGTTATGCTACCAGATAAGATGTATCTTTTCACTTCCATTTCTGCTTCTTTGATTCTCTGAATAACTTACCAGTTTAATTGGATATGCTGCAATTCAATAGATCTTAGTACGGAAATTTACATGAAATTCTGGCAGATATACTAGTATAAACCACCAAAAGATACTGTGTGTAAATGACAGATCATACAGACAAATTAAAACAGTAATGAAGTAGTTTCAGCTCAGCTGTTTGAAACCTCAGCTGTTCTAATTTTATGACTAAGCCACCATCAAATGCCTTCTGAGTCAAATTCTTACATCAGTTTACTACACCAGTGATACAAGATGCTCAATTTTCCGAGGACTATGGTATTGTATACTAGCATCTCTAATTCCAAGCCTTGTACTCAGGGACTGAGCTTACAGTGCTATCATTCTATGCTTAGCCCTTTTCCTGAAATATGCATTTCCACTTGCTTGAAATTATCTACAGATACTAATTATCAAAATGGAGTAAACTGAAAATTCAACAATGTCTAGTTTCCAACCTCTAATCTGTTAACAATTTTCTTCTTGATGGCATTCTGTGCAGCAGCATTTGTAGCAACCCGCAGTCCCTCTGCTGCTTCTCTCAGACGTTGCTGTTGATCCTCATTTTCAGGATTGGCTGCAGCTCCCTGCAAAAAATTTCAGAGCAAAAGACATGAGGCTCAGTACAAGTTCCCGGAGAAAATGTAGATGAATATCAAGCCTTTAGTTCCAGACAGCATCTGCTGTATCAGCCTGTATTTTCCTTGTATTATCTTAAAGTTAGAAGAACATTAACGTGTTACAAGACTGAAATAGAAAATTTATTGCTAGTGCAAGGTTGTTACTGTATATGTTTGGTACTTTGAGGAAGGCAGTTGAACCTTTGCTTCATATCCTACTTAGGTGTTTGGGAAAAAAGCCTTTGAAAGTAACTTCCACTATGATCTGTAGTAACATCTGTAGTTGCCCCTGTACTCAGCACTGGTAAGACCTCACCTTGAGTACTGTGTCCAGTTTTGGGCGCCACAGTATAGGAAAGACGTTGAGGTCCTGGAGCGGGTCCAGAGAAGGGCAATGAAGCTGGTGAGGGGTCTGGAAAACATGTCTTATGAGGAGCACCTGAGCGAAAGGGGATTGTTTGGCCTAGTGAAGAGAAGGCTGAGAGGAGACCTTATTGCCCTCTACAACTACCTAAAATGAAGTTGTAATGAGGCTGGTGTGGTGTCTTCTCCCAAGTAACTAATGACAGGACAAGAGGTAACAGGCTCAAGTTGTGCCAGGGGAGATTAGATTGGATATTAGGAAAAATTTCTTTACTGAAAGTGGTTAGACATTGGAACAGGCTGCCCAGGGAAGTGGTGGAGTCACCATCCCTGGAGATGTTCAAAAGACACACAGATGTGCTGCTTAGGGACATGGTTTAGTGGTGGGCTTGGTAGTGTTAGGATAATGGATGTTCTGATGAATGTAGGTTTTGGAAAAAAAAAAAAAAACAAAACAACAGTTTTTAAAATTCCTAATTCAATATGCCCTTCAGTAACTGCAGTCCAAACCTTGTACCCATTGGAAGTCTGAGAAAGTAAGGATATGTAAAGTCAAAGATATGCTCTGTAGCCAGGCATATGGGCCCTCAGAGCCCTAGCAGAATGCCTGGCCCTGATCTGTAAAAATCATTTAAGTGCAGAATCTGGAAACAATTGATAAACATGTTGAGGGAAGCGATTCTCCCCCTGTACTGTGCTCTGATAAGACCCCACCTGCAGTGCTGTGTCCAGGTTCTGGAGTTCCCCAGCACAAGATATAGACCTGTTGGAGTGAGTCCAGAGGACGGCCACAAAAATTATGATCAGGGGGCTGCAGCACCTCCCCTTTGAGGACAGGCTGAGAGAGTTGGGGTTGTTCAGCCTGGAGAGGAGAAGGCTCCGGGGAGACCTTACAGTGGCCTTCCAGTGCTGAAAGGGGGCCTATAAGAAAGATGGGGACAAACTTTTTAGCAGGGCCTGCTGTGTAGGACAAGGAGTAATGGTTTTAAACTAAAAGAGGGCAGATTTAGGCTAGATATAAGGAAGATATTTTTTACAATGAGGGTGGTGAAACACTGGCACAGGCTGCCCAGAGGTGGAAGAAGCCCCATTCCTGGAAACACTCAAGGCCAGGTTGGACTGGGCTGTCCCCACTCACTGCAGGTGGTTGGACTAGATGACCTCTAAAGGTCCCTTCCAACCCAAAGTACTCTATGATTCTATGAACATATTCCTGCCTAGGGGATTTAAACAGGTTTCTAACACAGAACGGAAAGAAAAGGTTAGATATTTGCCTCTCCTGTGAGAACGGGACAGTGGCATGGTGGGGAACACCACAGGCAAGAATCCCCAGGTGGAGGCAGAGTTGCTTTGTTAACAGCTTTTGTAAGAAATTGCTGTGGGTTTGTGGTTCCTGTTTGTCCGTTTGTATGAGTGGACTGTACAAGACTTTGTATCACAGTGGTGATGGCTGGTAGTAACTGCCCTAGATGACTTGAGTCATGACCACCCTGCACACAGGTGAGAAAAGCAGAGCAAGAAGGGTCTTTAAAACCAAAAAAACCTCCAGGTAACTAATAAATTGTTTGTTGTGAATGTACCTAGGATAAGTCATTAAACGCAGAACATTCACAAGATAAGAAAACTCATCTTTGCTATCAGCCAGATTCTATCTATAATATCCCACATACCATCTCTACTTTGCATATAACTATACAACTTTAAGCTGACAGTTCATTTTCCTGCTACCTTTGCAGCTTCAACCATGCGGGCTGTAGAATCTGCCAGGAGCTTTGCAGCAGCCAGAAGCTTCTTAGAGTTGTCCATGTCGATTTCTGCTTCGGCATCTGACCTCATGGCATTGACAAGATCAGAAGTGGCTTGAGCCAGTACCCTGGCCTGCCGTACCATTTCACCTGTGGTAGACAGTTATATTTTTACTTTCCTTCTCTTTGCCTTTCAGTTTTGGTTTCAAAAGTCATCTCGACAAAATGAAAATAAAGTCACATATGCTGAAGTATTCTTTCGACTTGAAAATGATACACAGCTAATTTATAACTTAGATGCTTCATAAACAAAATCTTGGATCGCAACATAAGTTAAGGAAACTGCTACAGTGAAGATTAAGAAAAAAAGGTAGTATTTGCATTTTAGATAGCAAAACAAAAATTAAAAAAATCAATACCTTAAGGTAATTTTGAATACACAGTTCAAGTAAACGCCTGGCCCAGTGAAGACTAATAATTTTGCTTTCAAATTACAGCCAAGATTTCACTCCTTTAATAAAAATTACCCATCTTTCACCTATTCTTCTTTTGTGGAATTATCTTCTAATATAAACTAAATTAAGAATGCTATCAGAAGAGACTCAGCACCAATTAGGTGGTTTTGGCCAAAAACAAGGTGTATATTTAAGACAGGGGTCATGTTCTGGTCATGGTGAAGCACAGAGATGAAACAGCAATGCTTCTGAAGTGGATACATACCCTTTCTAGAGCAAATTCATTTGGTCACCAAAACATATTATGAACTCATTCATAATAGACTTGAACCCATAAGGCCTTTGGTTTTCTGTAGGTTATCAAATCAAAACAGTCATGTTCGCGTCTAAAGTCTCATCATTTTCAAACTCTCTTAAAAAATGATGGGAAAGAAAACGAAAACAGCACTTTTCTCATGTGTAAAGGTGACTTGTGGACTTCAGAATTAAATATTTTCTTCCCAGGCTCCTCTGGTCAGGCATCAGCAAAAAAAATTCAAGTTTTCTAGCTGTTATCAACTATTTCCCCACATGCAATTTCAAAATGAAAATTTTTACCAATAATTGTTAACTCAGCTCCCAGTCCAAATATTCCACTTGGAAAAAATCCCTTTAAACTCCCTTTCTTACAGTATTAAGTCAGTAAATCAAACAGAAAGAATAAGCTGTTTGGACAATAAGACAGCAGTCACAAGCCAGAGTCTCTTTGCTGTTAAAACTGTGACCACAGGAGTGTAATGACAGTTGGAAACGCAGACTGGAATGTGAATGCCTTCTACTAAAAACTAAGTGTTGCACAACAAGATATTTGACTGTGAACAGAAAACAAATGCTGTCCAAGATGATCTCTTTTACTGCATCTTTCTGTACAGAAGCTGGATCAGGAGTGAAGCTAAACTTAAAAATTGCCATGGTTTTCTGTGCACATCTGCAGTAACTAAATTCCTTTGGACAGCTATGGAACATTTGAGAAATTTTCCACAGCTTTCAATTCGAAGATTAACTATGGTTTAGCAAACATTCCTACGCATTTTAAAAATATTTATTCACTCAGATTTCTCATAAAGAAGATTCTAGGGTTAAAATACACAGAATTTCACTAATTGCTTCCTTGCACGTGTTCCTCCAGAAGAGTGCTGCATGGCTGAAATGACAGTTACTTTAAAAAAAGAAACATCTGAAGGCTTTACCTCTTAAAACTTAAAAACTAAGATGACTACAACAAAAGATTAGTTTGTTCATATCAACTGCAACACAAATACAGCTGGGATTGAAGGATTTTTTTTCCTGGCCTTGCGTTTATATAACAGAAAAGACCAAAATCATACTCTTCACCATAACTGCTTCTTAAAACTGATCCTATTTTAAAATTTCTATGAGTTGTCTTGATTTCAAGTCAACACTGCCCCTTCATGTGGTTGCTACTTCATAACACTTGAAACTATTGAAATTTTACCATTCTAATTTACTGGATGTTACTAAAACTTTATATTGGATCAGTTAAATGTTAGGCATCTCAAGTTTTAGTTGGTTCTAAAAGCTGCATGTTTTAGAAATGTCACAGGAAAAAGCAGAAGCTTCAAAACCTACCACAAAATCTATGCATAACAAAATCAAACACTGGGAACTGCTTGCCCAGGGTACCTGTCTTCATATTTGGAGACGAGAAATTGCTACACAGTTCTGTAAAGCGAATCAGTGGTAGAAAATGGACAAAATATTACAGTGATCCTTTAGCATAACATTGATTGTTTTTACAGAGTATTCATTCCATCTAGCACACAGCTACGTGCATTTTGCTGATTTAATATTACAGATTGAATGACTAGCCATCATGAAAGCACTAACCTAGAAGCACATTACACTTCAGAGAAGGTTTTTTACTTGCATTTTTTGAAATATGCACATCTCTGGATCATGGAAAGCTACTGTCCACTACAGAAACTTACCAGCATCTCCCATCGAACTGAAAATGCTCTCTGTGACACACATGATGGTATCTGTAGCCTGGTCATAGCGTCCAATGGGCTCTCCCCGGCTCGCAAACTGGCGGACATGCTGCAAGAGGTCGTTCAGGGCTTGGCTGACAATGCTGGCAGCTGCACTGACCTGCTTCAGTAACTCAGTGTCATCTGTGGCAGCCTGGCAGGCCCTCACACAGTTCTCCACTGACCGATCTACCAGTTTCCCTGCCTCAATCAGCTGTTCCTGACATACTGGAGAGCTGATGGTAGGACTCACAACCTGCATGGGGAAAGGACACAAAGCGTTCAGAAAAGGCTTATTTGCAAATTTCCTAACTACTAACAAGTGAAACGTCTACTACATTAGTTTTTATTCTTTAACTTACCTGTTTTCCCTAGACAGAAAACCCTGAAAGTGAGTATTTAAATAGGTAACTTCAGACACCTAGCTTAAAAATCTGGGCTCTGCATATCATTAATTTAATCTCAATTTAGATTCTGAGAATGGAGGCCCCCATCTTGTTTCATGCTTCTTCATCAGCTACTGAACTGAGAAAACACTAGACAGTGGTTCTGGAGGGCAGGCACGGGCCAAACCCCTCCAGAGTGACTACGTCCACTGGCAGACTTCTGTACCCTGGAATTCCAAATAAAATGAAATCTTAATTGGAATTGGTCTTATAAAGCCTTCTTATATCAGCCTTTTCTATTTTGTTTAAATAAAAATATTGCTTGACACAAGCCAACAACGTTCTACTTCTGAAGCCACTCGAAAAGTAATAAACCCTGTGTCTACAGATCAGAAACAACCCTCCCCCATTTTGTTCAGGCATATCCAGGCAGCTTTTAGCAGTGGGAAAACTGAATACCTTATGAGGAAAACAGGATGCCACTGGATGTCTTGGGCCATATTGAAGAAATTCACAAGCAGTAAGAACATCAAGACCAAACAGTGAAAATTCATATATATGCATTACAAAAAGCCCTTGCAGCCAGAGAAATAAAGTAGAAAATATTAAAAAATTAATACCTAATACTGGCTATTAATTTTAATATAAACCTTCTGGATGTTTCACAACAGTTGAATACCCATTTCCCTGCAAAAGATGACATTGCAGACTTCAAAAGCAGCGTCCAACTAGGAAACGTGAACTGTTTAATTTTTAAAATTAATTCAGTATATTATTTATTTTCAAGACAAAAAAGGCTGCAGAAGGTGTAACGCTCCAATTGCAGACTTCAGAATTTGAGGTCTGATCTCAGCTCCTTTGTAATTTGCTTAGACTGAAAATCAGTACTTGGCCAAAGGCAATGGATCTATTAAAACGATTGGGCTACTGTAAATTAGTGCAAATATATTTAAAATCAATGATCGCCAACTTGATTTTATTTTCACTAAGAATACCAACTTTTAATTATTTAGCTTTAGATGAGGTGAACCCATCCTAATTCTAGACTTTATTAGAAAACGTACATAGCCCTCCAGGCAAGCTGTGCTACTCGAACTAATAATTTTTATGTTTTTGTTTTATCAATATTAGTAACTTATCAGATGGGCTCTGTTATCTCTGGAACCTTCTTTGGGGATTAAAGCAACATCTCACATCCTCTGGGCTCCTGATTGCCACTGTTATGGGTGACAATTTATTAAACAACAACTTTGATATTACTTAAATCTAGAGCTATGATATTAAGACAGTATATTGCCTGAGACTGTGGGAAATACACAGAAGCTTACACTTGAAATGATGCCTCACCACCTCACGAACACTGTCAGCCTCACCTTTGCACAAGCCACAAGCTGGGAAGTAGAAAGTGCACACTGTGTAGCAGCAGCGATGACCCGATTCTGCAGGACTGTATCCTCAGCAACCTGTGCTACATTCTTGGCCTTCAGCACTAACATAGCAGCAGCGTTTGCAACAGCTTTGGCCAGACTCATGAGAACATCCTGGTAAAATAAAGGGAAAACTCTGTCTTATGAACATAAAAGTATAGACTTTGTTTATATTAAGAACAAGCCTCCTGAAGGTAAGAAGTTTTCTTGTATCAAAACGTAAACATTTTGTTTCAGGCAAAGCAGCAAATGCAGCTGTTATTCAGAAAACTTGACAGTTTTCCTTTCTTAGTAAAACCATTTCTCTGCTTACATTACCAAGTTACTGGACTGAACGAGTACGGACTGTCAAATCTTGAATTGGCTCAGAGTCCATAAGAATAAATCTACGTCCCAAATTGCAATGTGCTTATCTTCACTTCTTGAGAATACACTATTAGTACAAAAACATCTGGAGTTCACCACTAAACACATGATAAATATCTGCAATAAGGATGACAACCTCAAGAAGCAAACTGCTGAGGACAGACAGTACTTGAGTTAATGCTAAATTCAAGTACTTAATTGTACTCAACAGTAATGACAACTGCCACTCTGTTTTTGAAAATGCCATTTCCAACCACAATATTTCCTTGTCCATGACCTAAATATAGCCCTATAAATTACTGCTCCAAAATACAACTCAAAACAGGTCTTAATTCCAGAACATTTTCCCTTGTACAAAAATAAGGTAGTTAACTCTGAAACTGCAAAATTAAAACACACTCACGTGTTAATTCCTGCAATTAAAACGTTCAGAAAATTTCTTCCCATTTCCCCACTTAAAATCCTACATTTCATATATTTCAGGTTTTTTAGTGGGACAGAGTCTTCCTAATGCCTGTATTGTTAAAGTGACCTGGCTTTCCTGTAAAAAGATACTACAGATAGATTTATGCATAATTTTAACTTCACAGCAGAAAGAAAACCTTGGATCAAAAAAATTAAGAACACTAGTTTTCATTTTGTTTTTAGGATATGAAGGCATGATAAACCACCCCTCCTCACCCGCCTTCTCCAACACTCCATAGCACTTATCAGAACATTTAGGTTCTTCCTCTTAGCCGAGAAAGAGAGGGCTGCAATACATACTCCACTAGGAATACAAATGCGAACTGATGAAACTTTCAGACAGATTTACTAGGGGATCAAGTGTTTAAAATGGCCTGTAAGTTATACTAGCAGACATATTGCGTACAGTGCCACTCCAGGGGTCATTCTGTTGCTGTAAATTACTTCCCCCTGGTTCTGGTGCAAACCTGTTCTTGGGATTGAGTGAAAAAAATAGAGACGTGTTTTTAACAGAACACTTAAGAACAATGGTTTTAAACTGCTAATAGCTAACACTGTTAAGTCATACAGGCATTATGATTTGATAATACTAATCATCTTAAAGAAACTACGTTAGTAATATGATAATTTTCTTCTACTCAGTTTACCAAAAGGTGGTGTAAACTTTCGGTTTACATGCATACATACAGACACAGCAAACACTGATGTGAAAACCACTATATTTAATGAGAAGAAATACTAATTATTAATAAACAATCATTCATTCTTCATAAATACATGACATAATAGGTCATTTAGCTTGCAAATACAGTGCAACACAAGGAAGGGCAATGATTGAAGTTGTCTGTGTGCACGTGCAAGTTTTAACACACCACTCCCCACAAAACCCCTACGGCATTCAGAACAATTGATTAAGACTACGCATCTGCCCCTGGAATGAGTTTTCATTCATTTCATTTCAACTCAATTACAGTCTTGCATCTGACACAGTGTACTTAGCAAAGATATGCAGTTTTTAAAAGCGCTTGCTGTTCCTTATTTTCTGTGTCTAACTTGGCACCATGCAATATAACTTGTGCCCTTTGTTGTGACTGAAGCAAATGGGAACTGTCACTGGTGTGACAATGCCAAGAATTTGAGAGATCAATTTGGGAGAGGTCATAGGGTATCTCAAATTAGCAGATCTCTGGACTTCCATGCCAAATTTTCCATCTGTAAAATGGAATGATAGTTCCACATCCTACAGGAAAGCTGTAAAAGATAATATTTGTGCAACATTGAGGTACTGAAAGTCTCCATAAAAGATTTAAGCCAGTGATGAACGTAGTGGTGAAAGTGAAAAGCAGAGTAGAATTGAAAGCAAGAGTCTGACCAGTACGCAAACAGCACGAGCCATGCATTTTAAGCATTGAAGGGAGTACAGGGCAAACAGCTCTCCATGAAGCAAGAAAGCATCTGTATGATGCACAGAATGAAGCAGGGGTTCCTACAAGACCGGCACTTCCTGATTGTGTAATTAAAAACAATCTCATAATGGATTAACTTCAATTAGCACTGAGAAACTTCAAATCTAGCATTTCCTAACGCGCTTTAGGAAGCCTGGTTTTATGCAGTGGCCTCCTCATTAGAAAGCTGCACAGTTCTGATAGTGACAAGCAACTCTCTCATTACCTGGAACCTTTCATCTGTTTCATTCTCTCCAATTTGTCTCAGTAGCTCCCCGCTTGCTTGCCCAATGCTTCCAGCTGCAGTCAAAACTGTCTGTCGAGGCTGGAAAAATATAATGGTAATACATCAATTCAAAGAAAGTGAGCTTCACTTGAATTTTTGATTTCCTCAAGAAACTTCTGCATTAGCATGCAACCAATATGGCTAAAAAAAATTATACAACAGAAACACTTTGGAAAAATCTTTATTTTTCCACATGTGCAACTGCACATCCATATTTCAGGGGTTTCATCTGAAGTGCTCCCATAGAACATGTAAAGAATTTTGAAGACCTTGAATAGACATTGTTGTAATAATTCCAAGGATAATTAAAGGATGGACATGCAATATGCCAACTGATCTGAAATGTCAGGAGATTTCATATTCTTCAAAACATAAATATCTGAAGAGAAGAGATCTCAGGCAAACTGGCTGAGACTCCAACTCATAACAAACTATTCTGGTCAGCACGACTCATTTCTGAAGAACTACAACAGAGGGATTAACTTCTCATTTTATATGTCAAAGTAGACAAAGATTATTAAAAAAAAAGAATTATTAACTCTCCACTTCCTACTGAGTCACAGTACTGTTTGAAATGTTTCTAAAAGAGAATACAGTACTTTGATAAATTAACTATTTATTACACAAATCAAGTAACCTCTGCATATAACACAATTAGAACATTCTAACATCAAGGCAAGACTTAAAGGCATAAAAACAGACAAACAAAGGAATAACAAGTAGTCAAAGGAACTACTTGCACAGGTGACTATGTGGCACTGAGAAGGTGAGTCTTAGAAGCTAGCATGTCTCAAAAAGGCCAAAGTCATGCACTTTGAAAAGGGAACCTTAGAAGTTTCTATCTACTCACCTCTCCTGAAGTAGGTTGCACAGCCTTCAGCAAGTCTGAGACAGCACTGGCCAGTGTTCGAGCAGCTTTCAGGAGGTCTTCTCCACTTCCAATTTCATCATCCATGAGAGCAGCAAGCAGTTTCACACCTTTAGACATCTCAGTGAGGTTGGAAGAGATGGTTGTAATTGCACATCCCACAGCAGTGTAATCAGTGTCAACTGGGTCCCCTGTAAAGCAAATGTTTTTTCATGATCTGAATGCTTTAGTGGTTAAAAGGGAAAAAGAGGCAGCTACCACAAGCTACTCTCTGGTGAGAAGCAAAAGAGACATTTCAAGATAGCCAAGCAATGCCTACTAAGGCATTTCATTGTCACTTTAGAAAAATTAAAGACTGCTATAGTTTTTCCAAATTTTACATTTCTTCTACAACAATTTATCCTCCACCAGAATTTCGCTTCGTTCAACGTAATTTGCTGAGAAGTCCAGAGTTTCAGCTATTTTTCGACATTTAAAGAACCTTTTATTGACCTCTCTAAGCTCCTTCATCTTATAATTTGCTGAAGAAAAAAACATTGCCAATAAACCTATAATCTCTCTCTAACAACTGTCTGATCAATGATGCTTTTCTGTAGTAACCTTGCAAACATTCTACTTCGTTGAATAAGCAAGCTACATTTTGTCTTTATCTATGGTCATACTTTTAGGGTAAGAGATAAATTGAAGACATAAAAATTGCGTTGGGAGGGACAGAAAGCTTGTTGTGCACATCAATGCACTTAGTTATTGGGGTATTTTGAAGAAAAATTTTTCTCCAGCTGCCCCATACTCAGTCCCTATGTTACTTGAATTAGACTGATAAATAACTAGGAGACTGCAAGAAAATCCTTCTCTTGGAAATTTACCTGCTGTAAGGTTAACAACAGACGCAGTTCCTGCAGTGATAGCATCAACCTGAGAGTGTATTTCGTGTTTTGATTCATCAACCTTGTTCTGAACCCATACTCTTGATGCCTGAAGAGTAATAACAAAAACAAGAATCAAGGACCTCAGTGAGGTTCTGTAAGAAAAGACACTACGTAAATCTCTTGTTCCTTCATGAACCTTTAAAAGTGAAACCGAGGACAACCACCAAGCCGTTAAAGTGAAATACGAAAGCAAGCATTTTCTTTTGCTGAATCATTCACTACAGAATTGCTATCACATTTCAACAGCTGCCTGTTTAAGTTAAATGCCATAAACAGTGCATCCATGAAGGCTAAATGCTCTTGACTGAGTCCCCCATAAACAATAGTCTCTTGATCTGTCCTCCTGCCCTAACCTGGATCAGGAATGAGAGAGTCATATTTTGTTCTTATTTTTCAAGCGTTCAGGAGGCAGATGCTCCCACCATAAATATTGCATTTAATTATACACATGCACACGAAACAAACAGGAGTCCAGACATGGTTATGCAAGGAAGTCTGCCACATCTAATCTCAGAAGACTGATTAGAGTGAGGTGGAATATATGAATGCCTTAGAGAAAAATTAGCACAAAATTTTTATCTAATTTTAAAAGCTTTAGTGATACCACTTCAGCTCCAGGGACAATGACTAAATGGATCTGTACACACCCCAAAGCATTAAGATCCATTTCTATGAGGGATTAGAAAAACTCACCATGTCCTGCCCTAGAGGTGGCAGGTTATCAACTTCACTGAGATCAGCTTGTGCCTGTTGAACGGCATGCATACTGGTATTAATAGTCCCCATCAAGGCCTGCTGAGCTGAGGTCTGAAAGGCAAAAGAAGGAAATGGCTGCGTGCTATGTACCAAATGGTGCTTCCAGCAAATGTTGCATGTGCATAAAGAGACAGTGAGTGACAACAACCCAACAATCACACCCGGTCATTTCAGATAGCCAGCTTTTCCCTGGTGTAATGGAGAAAGCAAAGCTCTCTCACACTCCTTCTCAGAGTCTTGAGATTCTGCCTGTGCCACTTTATACTCCTCTGTACTAGCACGAATTTATAAAACACTGAACTGTCTCAGATCAAACAATGCCCAGCAGATACACACAAAAACACTGAGCTGTCTTACTGACTTGCATTCTAGGAACATGAAAACTGAATTTGCTTCTAGGATATCATTTCTGATTTGCTGGAACAGGCTACCAGCGTAATCAAGGATGATTCCAAAACTAAATTGCCATCAATATGCATAAGCTAACAGAAAATGGAAGGGTTTTAGGCAGAGCAGGATGGCTATGTGATTGGCTGTCTGTGGCAAGGTTTTGGCTGCGGGGGTGGCTTCTATGAGAAAAGACCAGGGGCTGCCCCATGCCAGGCACAGCTGGTTCTAGACAACTCCAACAGACCCACCACAGGACACAGCTGAGCCCAGCAGCCAAGCTGGTGGCACCTCTGCAAAAACAAGTCAAAATGTGATACCCTAAACATTTCAAGGATGCGCAAAAGTTAGGTTCAGTAAAACAGCCATAAAGTCACACTCAATACCCTCCTCCCGCTCTTAGCGGTATCTGTAACATATTGTTTCTGATTACTTGCACCACAGACAAGTTTCAAACGCAAAAGCGAAGTTTTGAACACAAAACAAGGAGGTTTCTCACAAGCGGCGGCATATGTCCTCTGTGCATCTGACCAATTGTGACTTGTTGCTGAGGAGAAGGCATGATGCCAATGTTGAAAGTCTCTGGGCCACTGGACCCTGAACGCATAACAGCTGGTAGTGCCACAGAGCCATGCTCCACCTTCCCTGTCCGGTTGAACTGCTGCTGCAAGATGGTAGATCTAAAAAGAAGAAAAAGAAAAAAAAAAGCAAATGAAAAATCACAGAGATAATTACTTAGCTTCTGCAAATCAAGTTCTGCAGGATGTTCTTCCTTTCTAACCATTTTCTACCACATTAGACAAAAAATCATCTGGGACTTTTGGCAGACCAAATATTAATAGCACTAATGAGCAGGCACCAAGGAAAGAAGGCAACATGCAGTTTTGGTATATGTGGTACAACAGCTTTACCCCTTTAAGATGCACGAGACGCAGAACTGGAACCAGGTTTACAGCATAACAATTGCTTTCTCTCATAGTATAGGCTGATCAATAGAAAACAGAAGCGTGAACTCTGTGGAGATGCCTTTTCCAAGGAATCCCTAGATTTGGGATAAAAATTAACATTCTTTCTTCCCTCTTCATACACACATGCACACATAGTACTTCCTAATAATCTGGCAGCCTATCAAATAATGGGCTGGGAAGCAGGCCACTCTCAAGAATAATAAAGTTACTGTCATCCATGGCCAGGAACTGCTTTGCCAAATATACTGCTCATATTTAAATATGGTTCAAGGTTTAACTGCTAGAAGCGTTGACAGAAATTCTGGCTTTAACAACAATGGTGGTGAAAAAAGTAATTTAAATTGTGAAAAATGTTGTATTCACTCATTACAAGTTTTGAGCTTCTTTGCACAGCACATAGCTAACAGTATATTCTGGAAGTGATTTGGAAGGGGCAATGTCAAAAGAAAGCGCATCTGAAGATGCATGATCTGTCAAAAGTTGTGTCCTGGGTTACAGTGTAAAATGTG